TTCATCTCCTGCCTTAGTTAAAGCTCTTAGTTGCAAGTGGGAGAAATAAACACACACTAGCTTAGGAAAAAGAAAGAAAGGTAATTCATTGACTCATCCAGGGATAGGTGGCTACCAGCATGCAGGACCGGGGCATTACCAGGCCTCCAGCTCTGCTCCATGCTCCTTGCTGGCTTTGTCCCACACTGTCCTCTACACAGGTGCTCCCAACTGTGGCACACTTGGCTCCTTCAGCTCAGCAACACCCACAGAAATAGCGGTGTCTCTTGCCCTGCAGATCCCACAAAAATTCCAGGGTTTATTTCAATTAGGTCATAGCCTGTCCCTGAACCATGGGCAAAGCCCCAGAACAGAAGTGAACTGGCGATGTGGGGAAAGAGAGGAGACTGGCTTCTATCAGCTACTATGTGGGCAGGAGGGGTGAAAGTAATTCCCAAGAAAGAAAAGGCTGCTAGGCAGGGGCAGGAAGGAGGGAGACCTGGGCAAGGGGACACAGGACACTCCTGGGAGGCAGGAGTGAACCCTGAGCCCCCCCAGCTCCATCCTAGGACACTGAGTGGCTGTCCATAGGATGGGACACATTTGGAGCCAGCATGGGGAAGTGAGGGACAAGGACAGATACTTCCTCCAAGCTCCTGCAAAAAAGGGACTAGAGGAAGTTAATACTTAAGCCTCCCTAATAAGACTGGAAGAAAGAGATGATGCTGGGAGTGGGAGAATCCTTCCGACCTCACAAAGAGGCTCCTGGGGTGACCAGGGTGGAATTTATATAAATGTGAGAGATGCAGACTTCCACATGTTTCTCAACATGTCTTTATCCTGCTCTGGCCTCTGTTTCTAAATGATGAGAGATGACACTTCCTCAGATGGGGCTGATTCTTAAGGTTAATTGAAAGCGGCCTTTCTCCTGAATCATCCATTGCACTGAATTATTAATCATCTGTAGGCATTTACAGGACTTTAAACACTTGGACTTCCTGCCACCCTCCTTGGAAATGCTTTTGCCAGTGGAAATATGACTTCCCCTTGGCCATGGAAAAAAGAAGCCATGTCTACTGCTGTTTACAGATTTCTCAGCTTTGAGAGACCGAGCAAGGAACAAAATCTGAAAACAGGAAGCAAAGCCAGGGAACAGCAAACCAGGAAGCCATTCTGCTATGTGCAGTCGGCTCCAGGGCAGCCTGGTCTCAGAGCCCCTGTGGGACCATGGACAGAAGGGAGACTGACTACAGTGCTGTGGCTTTTGTCCTAGTTCATGGTCACCAGCATAGAAAATGGTCTCCTGGGGTCTTTCATGGATGGGCTCCTCAGCCGGTCAGTGGGAAGGAAAGAATGAGGGGGCCAGGTGACAGGTCCAGTTCTACCACTTAACTAGATGGGCCATGGCACCTCTTTGATTTAATTGCCTCACCTGAGGGGGTGGTACCTACCCTGCAGGGCTGACATGAGACAGGGATTGATGGGATCTTGTACATCAAGACTGTGTCATAATGCCCAGACCATAGGATCAGCAAGAAAGGTGAGTTCCTTCCTGCCACCTGCGCTCTTTTTCCCAATGGGAGAAAAAACACTCAAAGCTCAGCAGGCTGGCCCTAGCCTGGTGGCTCCATTGGTTGGAGTGTAATTCCATATACCAAAAGGATATGGGTTCAATTCCTGGTTAGGGCACCTATGGAAGGCAACGGATCAATGTTTCTCTCGCATATCGATGGCTCTCTCTCTCTCTCAAATCAATAAACATATCCTCAGGTGAGGATTTAATAGGTTAAAAAAACAAACAAACAAACAACCCTCAGCAGCAGGCTGGCTGAATGTGTAAGATGCTTGCAGACAGAGCTAGCAGTTTGAGTACAAGACCCCACAGCTGGCATCCAGAGCAGGCCAAGGAGGTCCTGTCAGGTTCAAACCCTGGGCCCTGATTGTGTGCCACATGAACGGTGGTGGCAGAAACCAGAGCACAGCTCCTCCTGAGTGCACAAGCCCTTCACCCACCACCAGCAGCACAGCTGTGGGTCCAGAAGCAGATATTGGGACTGTTGAACCAGATAAGACATAGTCCTGCTGCCCTGGTCAGTGTGGCTCAGTTGGTTGAAGCATCATCCTGCAGGATGAAAGGTAACAGGTTTGATTCCTGGAGAGCACATATCCAGGTTGTGGACTTGATCCCCAGGAGAAGGCAACCAATTGATGTTTCCCTCTCATATCCTTGTCTCTGTCTCTCTATCTCTCTCCCCTCTGCCTCTCTCTCCCTTCCTTCCTCTCTTTAAAAACAATTAAAAAAATGTCATCAAGTGAGAATTAAGGAAAAAAAAAAAAGCCGTGGCCCTGCCTTCATGGAGGTCCTGATCTGAGAGAGTGAGGGTGCTGACAGCCCCAAGCACTGAGCACTACACAGGGATGGAGGGTGAGAATAGGGCTGGAGAACCCGGAAGACATAAGCTGGGGAATGGGCTGAAGATCCAATCTGAAGAGCAGACAGGAGGTTGACACAGTGCTCCAGACTGCTCCAGGTAAGGGACGATGGAGGCCTAGGTAAAGCTTTTGGTGGTGATGGAGATGGGCAGAGGAGGAAGAGCTGGCAGGAATTGGCCACTGCTTGGATGTGGGTGGTGAGGGAAAGGGGCCAGGGAGGATGATGGGAGCCCTTGAAAGGCACAACATGGGGCTGGGGAAGGATGGGCAGCTCTGGGTCTGGCAGTTATTCACTGGCCACAAATCTCCATTTTCCAGTAGAACCTACTCCCTTCCCCATACCCAAAGGAGCCAAGTGCAGTACAGACCCAGCCATGGAGGTGGCTGGGCACAGACGGGACTGGCAGGCCACACAGGGAGCTTGGGGTTGGGAGGTCATGGCAACTGAAGGGTTACCCTGCAGGGGACACATGGACCTTGCTAACCTTCTGGTTCCAGCCTTGGGGTGCACGGAGAGCTCCAATCAGCAGAAGGAAGGAGAATGTGAACCACCTCTCCCAGAGGGCTATATGAACACTGTGGTCTGTACAATAATGGCTCCAAAGACACCTGTGTCCTAATTCCTGGACCCTAAGAATAGGTTACCTTACATAGCAAGAGGGACTTTGCAGCTGTGATTAAATTAAGGGTCTTGAGATGGGGAGATTACCCTGGACTATCTGGGTGGGCCCCATGTAATCACAGGTGTCTTTAGAAGAGGGAGGCAAAAAAAGTTGATGTGAAGATGAAGGGGACTTAGAGAGATTAGAAAATGCTGCTGCTGGCTTTGAAGATGAAGAATGGGGCCATTTGCTGGCAGCTTCAAGAAGGTGGGAAAGGCAAAGCAATGCAGCCCTACCTTCCATAATAGTAAGATAATAAATTTGTGTTTTTAACTACAAACCCTGGGATGGTTTTTAAAAAATTGTGGTAATTCATTACAGCAGCAACAGGAAACTAATACAGACTTCCAACTCAGGCATGAGGGGAAAGATGGAGAAGTTTTAGGGGGACCCAGGCCCTTTTCCTGAAACACCACCCCAATGCCAGCCCTGCAGAAGCAGAGGTCAGGGCCCCAGGTTCTCCAGACACTCCAGCCAATATGACCAGGTCCCCTGAGGACAGGTTTGCAGAAGAAAGGCCTGGTGTGGGGGGGGGGGGCGCGGCGGGGTTCCCTGCCCACAACAGGTTCCTAACATGGTACAGGGATGGAGCAGAGACAGAGGCCCCACTCCCACTCCTCTGGGACAGTTTCAGGGTGCAGGGTCATGCCTTCTTACCATCTCACACCAGTCCAGACCCCAAAGGAGAGTGGCCACACTTCCTATGCACACAGGCATCAAAAGGCTCCCAGGCCCTGCTCCTGTGTGGGACCTCAGTTCACCACCCACCCTCCCGCAGGTCATCCGGGGTTCAGGCAGGCCAGAGCCTTGCACACCCACCGCCTGAAGGCTCTGCATCTTGTCCACCCCACCTTCTCCATCCTATGACAGGCACAGGTACCCCTCGGGAGCACAGCCCAGGTTGGGTCTTTGGATGAAACCTTCAGGGCTGGAAAACAAGACCAAGTCTCCCTTCTCCCACACGCATATATTCCTTTGCCCACCTCCGGGTCTCAGACGTTCCCACCAGAGTCCTCCACTGGGACGTTGTGCAGGCTGCGTGAGGAGGCGCATCCCCTCACAGGGCACCTGCCGGTGGGAGCAGGCAGAGGACCTGGAGGAGCCTTCCCCGAGCCTCTCTGTCAAGGCTGCGTCCACCAGCCTCGACTGGCGCTATCCCTGCGGTCCGATAATAGTTACTATAATTATAGGTGCTGAGGGTGCGGAGGCGCCCTGGCGACGCCAACCTCGGTTAGATACTCTCCCTAAAAGGGTTGGCATGCCCTGCTCCCCTCCCCCTTGGTCCAGTCACGGCTCTAAGTGCCCCGTACATATATTAACTTTAGAGGGACTACTATTATTAACCTGACTGAGGAAAGTGACCTGAAATAAATTGCCCAAATAGCACAGCCGGCGCGTGGGGAGCCGGAGTTGGAGCCCAGGTGGTCGGATTGCAGAAGCCACGCTCGCCACGCTTCATTATTTTGTCTATTGAGAGGGCGAACCAGGACAGTGAAGCAACGCACCGCGCGCCACGGAGGTCAGGCGGGCAGCATGGGGTCCGGGCCCGGGAACTACGCCCTGGCATCCGGGAAGCCCCTGGAGCCCACAGACTTGCAGCAGGTGAAACGCATCCCTAGGCGATGCTTGCCCAGGCCGCCAGGTGTAACGGGCCAGGTAGCCCTCTATCTGAAGCGGGCGGAGAAGGCACCGGCTCTGTCCTCCGGTAGGCGGTGGCCCTAGCACCGCACCCCGTCCGCAGCCACAGGGAGCCCGGAGCGCCCGTCCCGCCCCGCCTGGGGCCCAGCGATTTCCGGGAGCGCCAGGTCGGCTCCGCGCCCCTCCTGAGCCAGGCCCAGGCCACGGCCAGGCCGGGGCGGGGCTGCAGCCTCCGGGCGCCGAGTCCTTGCCCCCGCCGTCCACCGCCGCAGGCCCACAGCACAACAAGGGGCAGCCCCCGCGCCCACCTACGGCCCCACGACGCACTTCAACAGTCTGACTCGCAGCAGCGGCGGCGGGAGGCGCGGAGAGCAGAGAGACCGAGCCCCGGGCTGCACCCCGACGGCCAGCCGGAGCAGCCCCATGGCTGGTAAGTGCTCTCGTCTCCCCACCCTTGCCCTCAGCGCGGCGCACCGGCCCCTAGGCCACTTTCCCCCACCCCGCCAGCCCCCGCTGGGGCGCAGCCCCTGTCCTGCCCCCCGGCTTATAGCGGGGTGCGGGGTGGAGTCGAGAGTGAGGTTGGCTCCTCGCGGCCAGTTGCGGCCAGGAGGTTGTGGGGGCCTTGTTTTCTCACCACCCCGCGCGGTCCAGAGCCCCGAGCCCGGAAGCCACGCGCCTGCACGTAAGCCAAAAGAGGCCCCCTTCTTTGCTCCTGAGACCCAGTGTCCAAGCGCTCTCGGCGCGCCCTAGGTGGAGCCTTCCAGCTCCCTGAAAATGTGGCGGTTAGGTGCCAGGTGCAAAGGATCCTCCGTGTGTCTCCGTTTCTCACACCTGCTGTCCCCATTCTCGTCCACAACCCCTCCAGCGCCTCCCCCGGACTCCCTGAGGTGTGTTCAACTCTTGACAGAGTTGAGGGAAGGAGTGAGTTTTAGAGAAAGTTACAGAATTCAAACTTGAGTCCAGCCTCTCAGCAGGTTTTAGAACCCTAAGCGATGGAGTCCTGAATGTGACCCAGGGCATCATCCCTTCCTCGGCTTTCCTTAAGTGCCTGGTGCCCACACCCAGCCCACCCTCAAGCCCGAACAGGATTCCAGGGAAAATGAAGGTTCTGGTAAAAGACAGTTTAATTTCTACTCAGGAGCAAAAGAAAACGGCTCATTTCAGCAGGTATCCCAACGGCTTTCCAAGGGAAACCAGAAGGTGCTGCCCAGGGCACTTGGACCCCAAGGGAAATGGCTTTTGGGTTGAGACCCAGCAGAGTCCAGCCAGCAGCCCCCCTCCCCAGCAGACCAGAAAGCCTGGTGTCCAAATTCTACCCCCAGCAGGCCAGTGGCGTGAAGGGGCATCACAGGCCTGCTGGTCTCTGCCCCCAGAGCAGGTGGCCCTGGTGATTGGGGGCATCTTTGGGGGTCTGCTGCTGCTATTGTTGATCGGGATGAGCTGCTGTCTCTGGAAGAGGATTTGTGCCACGTTCACCTATGAGGAGCTGCCAGGGACCGGGGCCGTCTCCAGCCTACAGGGGCACAAGCTCTGCCCCCTGCAGGGGGGGACCCAGACAAGCAGGTGAGACAGGATGTGGGGCCCAGTGCGCCTTGCTTAGTACCCTCTCTGTGACATTTCCCTTGAAGTGGGGTGGGAAGGAAAGGTCTGTTTATGAAGCACAGCCTGTGTGCTGTTGTTGCCAAGCCAGGAGCTATCACAAAGAAACTCCCACATCCTCATCACAGCCATGAGACAGGTGTTATGAAGCCCATTGTCCAGCTGAGAAAACTGAGGCTCAGAGGATATAAGTAGTAAGTGGGAGAACAGGCATTCAAACCCAGGCAGGCTGACCCCAGAAGCTGTGCCCCTCCAACTCACCACTGCTATGGTATCAGACAGAGTTCTTGCCTCTGGTATTCAACCCCTCTGCGCAAGTGCTCTGAGGCCACACCATTTCCTTGCCACCTATGTGTCATCACTCTGCTTCTGGACAGGCCACCAGGTGTGCCATTTGTGGTGCCCCCTTTCCTCCAAAGTCAAGACCGGGTGTCCCTGCACAACAGAGAGCGGACCCAGGTGCAACGGGACCCCCGCTGCCCAGACCCGGATCCCCTGCCACACAGCAGCAACAGCAACCTTGGTGAGCGCTTCTGCTAGGGCCTGTCCAGGGGTCAGGGTCTGCTCAGGCCAGAGGCAGGCCCTTCTGCTGTCACGGCCTGGCTCTGGAACATTGCCTGGATAGACCCAGAGATGCCAGAGTTGGCCACTCTTTCCAGGTATTTGGGTTTACCAAGTGCATGCTGCACCCCAGCTGGGGCCTGATAGGGCCTCATGTGCCCTTTCGGAATTAGACCTCACCATGCCTCTGGAGGGAGAGGGACTATCGCCCCATTTTACACATTCTTAAACAGGCTTGGAAAGTTAGCTGTGCCTTGCCCAAGGTCACAGAGGCAGTAAGCATCTGAAAAATGGAGCCCTCGTGTTCCCAGGTGCAGGACCCAAGCTGGGTCCTGTTCCAGGATGATGAAGAGGGCAGAATGGTAGGAACTGGACACAGGATTCTGCCCACCTTTTTTGCTCTGAAAGCTTCCCAGGAACCACCAGTCATCCATTGGTCCTTCTAATTTGAAAAGAAAAAAAAAAGAGGCAACACTTTATCACTGAGACATCCTCTGGACACCACAGAAAGGGGCCAGACCAAGTGCTGGCCACTGTGACCCCCTCCCGCCCCTGCCAAGCGGGCCCTAACCTCTGGGGGTGAGGATTGATCACAGGGGATAGGAGTTGAGTGAATACTGGGGGCTTTGCTGGAGGCCCCAGGGAGGAGCAGGCCTGGATGTACAATGCCTTAGTCTAAGAAGGCCTCCTAGAGGAGCTGCACTAGAGAGAAGGACTCCATTCAGTCAGGAGAAGCAAGTGGGGCACATATGGTCAGAAGAGGCCACAGGAGAGGCCTAATCAAGGCTCAGTCAAGAAGGGGTGGGCCAGGAGAGGGAGATAAAGCCCAGAGATTGCTGTCCCCAGTCCTCTGCCTTCCTCTGGCCTGCCAGACCTCCCAGCCCCTGTGTTGCAGGAGATGCATGTGTGGTGGGGACCATCAACCCAGAGCTGTACAAGTTTCCAGAAGACAAGAGTGAGACCCACTGCCCAGAGGGCTGCCTGGGGCGGCTGTGGTTCTCTGTGGAATATCAGCAGGAGGCTGAGCGACTACTGGTGGGCCTGATCAAGGCACAGTGGCTACAGGTGCCCTCAGAGACCTGCAGCCCACTGGTGAAGCTCCACCTGCTGCCTGATGAGCGGCGCTTGCTCCAGTCCAAGACCAAACGCAGAACTGCCAACCCGCAGTTTGACGAACACTTCATCTTCCAGGTACGGTGTTTGGAGAAGGCAGGGTCTGGGAAGGAGCAGTCATCCTGCAGGAGAACCCCAGCATCCTATACTGGCCAGGGTCCTGTGGCCCCCAGAACCCCTGTGCCACAGGCCCTGCCTCACCCCGCCTGTCAGGTCAGGGCGCTGAAGGGCCTGAAGAGCCTTGAACTCCAATGGCAGAGGCAGGGGCAGGGGAGAGACTTGGAGGGTGAGGGGGCAGAGAGCCAGGCTCCTCCTTCCCAGGTTGCCTGGAGGAGACCAAAAAAAAGAAAAAAAATTATTGAATCACCTCCTGAATGCCAGGTCCTGGCCCAAGGGGCATGGAGGAAGCACTCCAAAGCCCTGGAACACTATGGGGTTTCTGCCAAGGATATCCAAGGAAGGGAGAGGATGAGACCTCCAGGCCCCTTGGAATATGGACAGAAACTCACCTATCCTGTCAGAGGCCAATGCAGAACCTAAGTGCCATTGCTGTATGTTGGGCTGCCTGGCTAAGGGTCTGGAGGTGCCATGGCTGTGAGGGCACTGAGCCAAGCTCACAAAGGCCTGGGAACCTCAGCAGGTGGCTGGGGGCCCTTATGGGAAGACAGCAATCAAGAGCTGCTGAGAGGACTTAGACAAACTTTAAAAAAATATATATTTTATTTATTCATTTTTAAAGAAAGGGGAAGGGAGAAAGAGAGGGAGTGAAGTATTGAAGTGCGAGAGATACTTTGATCTTGCTCACCCCCAAATGGGGACCTGGCCCACAACCCAGGCACGTGCCCTGACTGGGAATCAAACCTGCAACCTTCTGGTTCACAGGCCGGCTCTCAATCCACTGGGCCATACCAGCCATGGTGAGGCAAACATTTTTAAGCACTGGTCATTGGGCTGGATGCAAGGTGAGGAGAGACCAGTCAGCATCCCGCAAGACTGTGACTGCAGAGGCCAGAATCCTGATTCTTGCCCTGTTCTGAGGCTGAGAACTGAGAAAATCCTGGGGCGTCCATGATCCTAAGATCATAGAGCCCAGATCCTGGCTGTCCTGCTGGGGCCAAGGCTGTGAGAATTCACAGGTGAACATGTTCTTGTCAAGTCAGCAAGACCCAAAGTGTGCAGGCTGACTAATCAGCGTGGCCACACGTCATAGTCACATACTTATTCTCTTGTTCATCACTTCCCTGCCCTGTCCCTGCATTAACTTGATCCTGACCCTCTCTTGTGCTTTTAGGGGAAGGGAAGGAGGAAAATAAAAGAAAATCATTATTAATTAACTGCCTGTCCTAAGTCAGACACTGTGCTTGGGTTTCACAATCCAGGTAGTAAGAACAATTAACCTGTTTCAGGGTAAGGAGACTGAGTCTCAGGAAGAGGGAAGTTGGGGTGCTCAACCCAGATAGCAGAGGCAGGCAGGTTCTCTAGGCTCCAATGCAGGACCTCTCATACTTCTACATGCAGGCCAATCACTGGGAAGTCCTATGAAACAGTAGATTACACTTCATGGGTTGGGGGTGGTTCCTAAGGTCCTGCATTCCCAACAAGATCCAGGGGGTGGTGAATTCTGCTGGTCCTCAGACCACACTCCGTGTGGCAAGACTGACACACATTCCCACCTCCTGGGAGAACACTCCTGTACTGGCCACGCTGCTGTGAGGGGTCTCCAAAGATGCCTGGCTTTGGGGTCTACAGTCTCTGGTTGAGACAACCCTCACCAAAAGCTCCTGTGTCCAGAACAGTGTGCACACCATCCCTTCTCTTGTCTCTAATACAGTCCCCAGCCTAGCCCTCATCTCCCCCAGGTGTCTAGCAAGAGCATCACTCAGAGGGTACTGAGGTTCTCGGTGTACCATGTGGACAGGCAGAAGAAGCACCAGCTCCTGGGCCAGGTGCTCTTCCCCCTGAAGAACGAGACTCTGGCGGGCGACTGTAGACGCATTATCTGGAGAGACCTAGAGGCTGAGAGTCTGGAGGTAAAAGTCAAGGTCACTAGACAGATACCACTGTGCATCAGACCACTGTGGGCAGCCAGCAGGGGTGGACCAGCACCCCTACACGTGTGAGTCAGGGTGGTGGGCCTGGGTGGAGCTGCATAGGTGGAAGAGGGTATGTGGAGTCACTCCTGGGCAAGGAGGGGCTGCCTGAGGTTGTTTTGCCATGGATGTCAGATTACCTAGAACAACTTCAAAAATCTGTGTTTAGATTTCACATCTAGATCAGACAGCTGTGATAAGCAATACTCCAAATGGACCACCAAAAAATATATTTACCTGCCTTCCTCCAACCCCCAGGAAAGACCCATAGCTCAGAATAGGCTTTGGAATCATCCAGACCTGGGTTTGAAGCCTCAGCTCTGGTCCTCACCACTGTGTGATCTCCAGCACATCCTTTCGGCCCTCTAAACCTTAGTTTCTCCATCTATAAAAAGGTGGGTGGGTTTAAAGGAGGGAAAATGAATATGAGGTGGGATGTCACCTGGTCCCCTGGGCCTGACTGCTGGGAGAAAGGAAGAAGGCAGTGGGGTTCTCCCAGCACCTGCCCGTGTGACACGGTGCCTTCCTCTCGGCATCTCCAGCCCCCCTCGGAGTTCGGTGACCTCCAGTTCTGCCTCAGCTACAACAACTGCCTGAGCCGTCTCACTGTGGTTGTACTACGTGCCAAAGGCCTGAAGCTCCAGGACAACAAGGGCGTTATCAGTAAGCTTTCCCCTTGGGGCAGATCCTGCCCAGCAAGCTTGGGGCTGGGGCTGGGGCTAGAGTCCGACCCTCACACTCTGCCATCCAATTTCTACTTGCATACTGCACATCACAGAGCACTCACTATTTTATGATCTGCACCCTGTGTGGACATTGGTGTGAGAAGCCATTTCCTTATGTTGAACCCAGTGTTGCATCCCCTTGGCCTCCACCAAGGCCCCTAAGATTTCTGAGACCAAGTCAGCTCCTCCCTTTTCCAAAAGGAGGGTCTTGGCTCCTTGAATTATACTGCCCACCCCTCTTCCTGCCCTTCTGTGTAAGGATCCACTTCCTCCAGAGTGAGGCCCCACGCCTCCCTGCCCCCAGGGAGGTTCCCCTGAACACAGGCATGGCGCTCTTCTGGAAGCAGAGGTACCCCAGGCTGGCAGCCCGAATGGCTCTCTGCTTCCTCCAGCCTCCCAGACTGCAGGAGCTGGAGGAGCAGAGGTCCTGCACTGGTTCACCCCACACGCCCCATCCCTACGTGGGCCTCCACAAGGGGACAGCTGTCTGCCACCTGTTGGTCTTTGCATCTAAGTGAACATTGGTTTTTGGCCACCTATGTGTCTTTGCATTTTAAGCAAGCTGGCATTCAACTGTCCACTGCAGATCCAAAACCCATCTGAGCCCCACACCCAAACCTTGGCTTTCTGAAGGAGAAAGATGTTCAAGGGGACCCAGGGGTCTGAGCACCCAGTACCCAAGTGGGAGGAATGAGTGTGTGGTTCCAGGCCTCTGTGAACAAGGGCCAGCCAAGCTGTGGGTAGTTTGGAAGGCAGAGAGGAAGGAAGGGGAAGGGAGCTGAGCATGTCCTCCGCCCTGAGGCAGCTCACTAATCAACCCTGTTTCCCCTGGAAATGCCCTCTGGCTGCAGCAGCTGTGAGTAATGAGGTCCTGGCGGCAGAGTGGGCATGTGCCCTCCCTGCGACCTCCCACAGTCCAGAGGCTTGGGCCTTTGCCCGTACCTCTCAGCCCTCTGTCTGCACTGCCCCTCAGGTGTATTTGTCAAAGTGTCCCTGATGAACCACAACAAATTTATCAAGAGCAAGAAGACTTCAGCTGTGCTGGGGTCTACCCACCCTGTATACAGCGAGACCTTCAGCTTCAAGGCCGACCCCACAGAATTGGACACTGCCAGCCTCCGCCTGACAGTGCTGCAGGACACTGACGGGGACAGTAAGGCTGCTCCCGACCCCAGGGGGTGGGGTAAGGGCCAATGAGGGCTGCTGAGCATTCAGGCAGTGTGGACCCTCAGGAGAGCTCTGTTTCTGTTGTGTGCCCTAAGCAAACTAGGACTAAGACACTTGCCCAAGAACACAGCGCTTGCTAGTGAGAGAGCTGGGATTCATGCCCAGCCTTATTCCAGTTTGACTATCGTGCCCTAGAAAGGATGACTTCTGCTACCCCGTCCTGTGGCACATTGCAAGAGTCTGGCATGCAGCATGGCTGCCTGCCCTTGGCCAAGTGACCTGATGCTGTGGGTCACAGTGTTCCCTGCATTGCCTCGTGCCTTAACACAGCCTTCATGTCTTGGAAGTTATCCCAGCAGCTTCCCCACACTGCCCCATACCCCAGTGTCCACTATCACCATCCAGGGGAGCAAAGCTGGCTGGTCTCTGGGCCAGAGCTACCTTCTCCACTGTGACAGTTGGAGGGTGACAGTTTTGTTGAATGTTGAATGTATGAGTGGGCTGTTGAAAGAAGGCTTCTTTGTGGAGGGACACCTAGTCCCTCAGCTCTGATGTGAGGAAGGCATAAGGTGGCCCAGCAGGAGGGTGAGGAGTGGAGCAGGCGCCTTTGAAGGTCTGGCTCTTTACCTGGGCTTACTGCTCCTCTACACGCCCTCCTCCCAATGCTACGATCTCCAGCTCCTAAGATCTCTTTGGGGGCTATCAGCTGCAGCTCCAAGAGGGAGGGGGCTGGCTACTTCCTTGAAGGGGAGGAGTGAATGAGAAAGAGAAGGGGGGGCAAGAGAAAGATTGGACACTGGGGATGCCTGAAGCAATGTGGCTTCTGTGCCCCACAGAATGACACTGCTTTCTCTCCCTTGCAGGGAGCCTCCAGCTGGGCCGGGTGGTGGTGGGCCCCTACATGTATGCCCGTGGCAGAGAGCTGGAGCACTGGACCGAGATGCTCAGCAAGCCCAAGGAACTGGTGAAACGCTGGCACGCACTCAGCCGCACCACCGAGTCCTGACTGAGGTGGGACCTCGGGTCTGCTCAGGAGCCCGCTCTCCCCATGGTCATGTGTGACAGTCATTGTCCTGGACACCTCTTCCAACTCTTCCAATTTTCCAGCCTCTCACTGGGCTGTGGGGCAGCCTGACACAAGGGAATGAGAGCTGCTGTGCAGGAGAGAGAAGGTGACCCAACTCCCCAGCCTGAGAGACCTCCCCAACTCACTCCATCCTTCTTCTCTCATGGGCTGCCTGGGCTTAGAATCTGAGCTCCTGGTCATCACAGTCCCAATCTGGCCTGGAATCTCAGGCATTTGAGAGAAATAGTCTATTTAGCAATTGCATAGTTGTGTGTACAGAGCAAACATGGGTCCCGCCATCTTGGAAAGTTGATGATGTTCTGATGCTAAAGCTGAAGTTTTTCAGCTGTGGTATCTCTGTCTTCAGCCTAGCAGAGAAAACAAACTGCTCTGGAGGAAATATAAGGGTAAGGAGTGCATGGGTGGAATATCTCAAGCAGTTATTTCGGGTGGCCCATAGTAAATAGCACAGTCTGAGAATGGGATTTTGCCTATAGGTGTGGAACAGTCCCAGAATGTCTGGGCCATACCACATGCCCACAACTCAGGAAAGAGAGCTCTCTGTGATGGGGACTCATTGCTTCAGGATTTGCAGGACAATGCTGTGAAAAGCCTGTGTCAGCTCTGAGCATCAGCTCCCTATGCCAGGTTAGGAGGGCCTCTGTGCTAGGTCCCTCCTGGGGGCTATGTCAAATCCTGCCCGCACATCAGGCCAAGTGTGGCTCACAGCCCACCCTCCCAGAGTCCAACACCTCACACCCCTGGTCTCACAGGTGCTGGTTAACAATGGTCATCTCCTAATGCGCTTAGTTTAGGCAGAAATGGTGAAAACGCGGGGTTAAAACTGAGCCCATAGAGCTGAGAGCTTTTCCTGTAAACCTAGCAATTCCATTATAATAACTGAGTGGTAGGTGTCAGTGTAAAATTCATTAAGATGGAAGTTCCACAAACCACGGTCATCAACCCTCATGAAATCATACTTAAGAAGCAGGCCTTGTGCTTATCACTGTTACTTAACAGGCAATTTGAACTTGCAGAGTCTATGCATTGTTATTTTATAACTAGAACAAAACTTTAAACCAGCATCATCTCTTTTCTTATGCAATGAAGTGACTTCAGCAAAAGACTGAAGCACAGATGATAAAAGAATGCTGTGGCTTTTTATCTGACTTTTTCCCTGAATTCCAAACCCCTTACCTACACCTTTCTTATCCTTATAAAAATGGTCAGTTTAAAATGGAATTTAGGATGGTCTGGTAGGGTACAAGCCTGCTGTTTTCTCAGACCACCAGCCATCTGAATAAAGCACCCATAAAGATTCAATCCCTGTGTGTGTATTGGGTCTGGTAGGTGACAGGTAGCATAAATTCCAGCTTTTCCAGTTTCAAAGGGGTTTGGAACTCATGGAAAAGGTTAATTGGATGAAAAGGCTCAGCATTCTTTCATCTGTGCCCTGGGGGGTGGTCTTTCATCTGTGTCCTGGGCAGTGGGCATCTCACCCTGGAGAACAATGGCTCAGATACCATCTAATTGCTTGCTGTCCTCCTGAGACACAGGGTGGAACTGCTTATGGTCTCCTTGGAGTCAAGGTGGGTCTTACTTTCAGTTCCTGAAACAACAGCTTTTTACAAGCATTGATTACTAAGCTTATTAGCTATTACCTGGAACTAAAATTTTCCACCTTTTAAGCCCCCCATCATTATGTTGTTTTAGTTTGTAAACTATCCCTATAGGAATAAGATAATTAAAAACTAACACGGGGGCCCTGGCTGGTGTGGCTCAGTGGATTGAGCACCAACCTGTGAACCAGAGAGTTGTGGGTTCAATTCCCAGTCAGGGCACACACCTGGGTTGCAGGCCATGTCCCTGGTAGGGGACACGCGAGAGGCAACCACACACTGGTGTTTCTCTCCCTCTTTCTCCCTTCCTTCTCCGCTCTCTAAAAATAAATAAATAAAATCTAGAAAAAAAACCCCAAAAACTAACAGGTGGAATGATAGAAGAACTCAGGTATTAAAGAGTTTAGCCGTAATTGTAGCTTTTGGATAAAGACTCATTTATCACCAGAATTTTGCCTCTGGAATTTTGCCTAAAGGGTAGCAGCGGGAGAAAACACCCAGTAACACCTGCTGCCTAGGCAAACCCAATCTCCAATTTCTTATCTCTGAAGGTCCCAAGACTCTACTCTTTTCTGCCTGAGACAAAGAAGGGGCCACACACTAAACCTGACAAGCTCAGGGGAGGCTTACAAACACAGAGACCAAAAGTAACCACAATGGATGATCTGAAATTAACACTTCCTAACTAAAAGCAGGTCTTGGGGGTGGTCATGTTCTAGGCCCTATCATCCCTGACAACGGTAAATCTTTAACCTGTCTATTGTCTTTTAGCACCTAAGATAACATACCTTTAAATTCCATTCAGAATGTCTGAGTAGTTCCTTTTTCTAGACCCCTCAGGGCACAATCTCCCAACCAGTGAGCCAAGACCTCATTATCTTGTTCCCCCCTCATACCATATCTAAGTGCTATAAATGTTCGTTGTTAACTATACTGTACTCCTACCAATGTTAAAGAAGTATTTGTCTCTTCATTTTACCCTTTATCCAATCCCAGAGATATCCCCACTTTACTTTCTCCTGTCTCCAACTATCACCTGTCAATGTAATAAACATGCAAACCTTAGAGAATTTTTGTGAGTTTATCTGAGCCAAACTGACAATTTCCAGGAAGCAAAACCTCAACAGATCGAGGAAATGCTCCAGAAAATGGCAGTTTTGCTCCTTATTTTATACATTACAATCAAAAGAGAAGGCATAAATGGGTTACATGAAATCTATTGGTGATAAAGTAGGGAGGCAGGAGAAGGCAAAGCAGGGAAACTTTTGGGATTGATTAAAAGGTCAAATGATAGACACATACTTCTTTTACATATGTGGATGCAGGATAGTTAACAGTCAACAATTAACACAATAACAGAAACAATGAGGGGATTTGCTCCGATATGAGTGGTTGTGCCCCAGGGCTTTGGAAAAAGGGAAGTTACCTTGACATTCCAAAGGCCTGTTATCAAAGATACAGAAAGACAATAGACAGGCTTAATTAAGGAAAAGGTTGCCTTTTGTCAGGGAAGATTCCAGCCTAGGACAGGACTGCCTGCCATGACCTGCTTTTAGAAAGTTTTAACTTCAGACCATCCTGTGTGGTTACTTTAGGTCTCTGAGTTTGCAAAGCTGTTACACAGACCTCCCCGAGCTTGTTCAGGCTTAGCATGTGGCTCCTTTTCATGGGCACACCAATGAATTTCATGTAACTCTCCTTATGCCTCCTCCTTTGATTGTAATGTATAAAAGAAGGTGCAGAACTGCCATTCTCTGGGGCATTTCCCCAACCCATTGAGATTTTGCTTCACAGCAATTGTCCATTTGGCTCAAAAATTCTTACAGGTTTGGATATTTCTTACATTGACATGCCTTTTAGCCATGGTCCTCTGTCCAAATGTTCAGTTTCTTAGCTACCATCAGAAAATTTCTTGAAAGGAAAAGTGGGTCACGGAATGTCAGCTCACCTTGTTTTTTTTCTTCTGAGATCATGACCCATGAAATGCTTGTCAACCTGGCAGCTCTCTGATAACTTAAAAAGAGGTTTTCTGTATTTTATTCAGTTTTTCTAGTTGTTCTTGGCATGAACATCACTTTGCCTCAAGCAGAAAAAATAATTATTTTCTCAGAATTCTTTTCCCAGAAAAAGAATTCTCAGCAAGTAGTGGTTTTATACAGGGACTCTGATGATACAATTATTAGGAAGGCTGATGAAGTCAAAAGGTGAAAAGTTTATTGTATCAGCTACTTTTGCAATAATAGTGCATAACAAATAATCACAACATCCCAGTGTTCTATCAAAATGTGCATTTATTTCTCATATATCTATGGGTCAGCTGAGTGTGGGCTGATTTAAGTTAGGCAAATCACCTTCAAGCTGTGGGTCTGGTGGCGGCTGAGGTCCTCTTCCAGGCCTGCTCCCTGTTTGTTCATTCTGAGCACAGGCTGAAGGGGAAGCAGGGCCCCAGGAGAAAGCTCTTTTCATGGTGAAGGCAGAAGGACCAGCACATTTTCCCCCTCTACTTGTGTTTTATCACTTAATATCCCATTGGCTGAAGCAAGTCACACAGTCAAGCTTAAAACCAAGGGGTAGGAGATAAACTATGCCTTTTTTTGTTAGAGGAACTGTTACCGAACAAAAGGACCCATGGGGGAGGTGCCCAGATACCTATTACTGAAACAATGACACCCTCCTTCCCCGGGCCCCCTCAGTTGTCCTTTGCCTGCCGCCCTTGGAATTATGGCTCTGAATGGCAGAGTTTGGTGAAAAGGAAAGGAACTATTTATTCAAAAGTTATACAGGTTTGATTAATGGCTAAATGTCACCCTTAAACCTCAAAATCCCTTCGAAACTACCACCAGCACACACACCGTCCTGCCTTCACCCCTTTGCTCAGTTAGGCCAGTCAGAGGTACCGTCCTTCAGAAGAAAAAGAACAGAAGTCCAGGGCTCGGCTGGGCAGGCCTCTCGCAGTTCTCAGCACCTTCCACTGCGTCGCCGCGATCTCCAAGCTCTTAATCCATAACCATGGGGCACCTTCTCCTGGCCCACTAGCAAGAGTCCTTTCTCCCCTCTTTCTTCCTGCGTGGTCTTCACACTGTTCCTCAGAGTCTGTGTCACTTTGTCTCTCCTGCAGGGTCCTGTCTCTCCTCTCTCTCTCCCAGTTACATTCTGTATAAGGTCTTTGAAACCTTCCTGATTAGCTTTGGTGATATGCAAAAGAAGCCTCTTTGCATATGAGGAATGAAGCTGTCCTGTTATTGACAAACAAAATGACTCTCAATGGCCCTGCTCAAGGCTCCCATCCTCCATGGCAGCCTGCCCTGGGGTGGGGAGAAT